GAGTGCACCCTCAGTAAGTTTGCAGATGACACCAAGTTGAGTGGGAGTGTCGATCTGCTGGAGGGTAGGAAGGCCCTGCAGAGGGATCTGGACAGGCTGGATCGATGGGCCAAGGCCAACTATATGAGATTCAACAAGGCTCAGTGCCGGGTCCTGCACGTGGGTCACAACAACCCTATGCAACGCTACAGGCTTTGGGGGGGGGGGCTGGGGGGGGGGCGCCGGTGGGGGGGGGGGCCCTATCTGGCCAGCCATTCCCTGGCTCTGCCATGCTTGCCCTCCCCCAGCTTCGGGGCTGCCACAGGTCCCCCCAGTCCAGTCCCCCTTGCCTGCGTGGAGGCCTGGGGACTTGAGGGTGGCCTTGGTGGGCTGCCCTGCACCCCTGCCCTGCCCTGTGCCCCATCCTCCTACCTCCAAAACACCGTTTCAGTGCTGCCCAGGGCCACCCTCCCAGGTAACCGATGCTGCCCATGGGGCCAGATTCTGGCACCTGCCTCCCTCTTGGCCTTTGCCCCCCCAGCCGCGCTTCCTGTGTCTCGCCAGCTGCTCTCCCTGTGCCCGCCAGGCTGTTTGCTCTGTGATATCAGTGTATGCCCAAGGCGGGTGCCACGGTGCAGGGGGGTGCCCTTGGCCGGGGTGGGGACCATGGAGAGACCCCTGGCAGCAGGACCCACGGATGAGGGGAGCCAGGGAGGTCCCAGGGCACCCAAACCTTCCCAGGGGTCCACCTCCCCCTCCTGTGGGGGCTGCCCCAGCATGGCCCCCAGCATGGGATGGTGCACAGCTGGCAGCGGCGTGCAGGCAGGGAGGCTGTGGGTGGCTGCAGAAGGTGGGCAGGGGGTGGCTGCAGAGGCTGTGGGAGGCTGTGGCAGGCAGAGGGGAACAGGCAGCAGAAGGCAGCAAGGCAGAGACAGGGAGGCAGGCAGCGGGAGGCAGGCAGCGGGAGGCAACCTGCAACCCCCCTGCCCTTGCCCGCTGCCAGCTCTCTGCCCACAACCTCCCTGGCAGCTGACATGAGCTGGTGCCTCCCTCTCCAGAGGTGCCAGGTCAGCCAGCAAACACTGCCCGTGCACGCCTGTCCTCGGGGACGTGGCAGGGAACTGGCAGTGGGGAAAAATCCCATCTGCATGTGGGGACCTAGCAGGGAGCCACCACGTGGGGCTCTCCAGGGACACAGCCCCTTGGCCGGGCCACCACTGACCTGCCTTGTTCTGCTGCCAAAGTCTTTCAGGCTGCTGATGGCCGGAGGAGGCGGAAGGAAAAACATCCAGCAAACAATTGCAAAAGTCAAGTCTGAGCAAGAAGGAGGGTGTGAGCAGGGGGGGTGCCAAATCCGGCAGTATTCCTTGGAGACGCCAGCAACAATGGCAGGAATATTTAATCATGCCTTGCTGAACCCAAACCGGCAGCAGGGCTGGGGTCTCGGGACCTCGAGGAACCAGCAAGGGGCCACAGCTGACCTGAACATAAGCTGGGACAAGACTGTGCTCTCCCAGTGCGGGCACCAGCAGCATTTTCTGGGCTGTCACCTGCCCCAAGGATGAGATCAAACATAACAAGCAGTCGCCAGCACGATGAAGGGGACAGAGAAGCACTGGCAGTCCGCAAACACAACAGCCATGGGCTAGGACGGAGGAGACAAGGACAGTGGCCGACTAGGAGGCGATTGTGAGACGAATCTGTGACTGAACAGGTCGGACTCTCCATCGGGGCACAAAGGTGGCCTTGTGGACAAAAAGGGTCCCTGCCACCACCTCAGCCTGCCACCGCCACCCCTCTCCCATCACCAGTACATGGTGGCACATGGCTGGAAATCTGTCCCTTATCAGTGTACCACCCCATCACCAGGGCCAGGAGGAGGTTTTAGCTCTGAACCATGAGGTCCTGCCTCTTGCCTGATGTTCTTTTTGCAGGGTGTGCTTGCTCAAAACCTCCCAGGTGACCTTTGGCACTAGTCCCACCAGCGGGTGGACTCCTTGCAGCAGCGTGCCACATGCCACGATGCGCAGTGTGATCCCCCCTCTTCTTTCCCTGCTTGATACCAGTGAATAAAGTTTCCAGTCTCCTTTCCCTAAGCCATCTCCTCCCCTCCACAGCTTTAGCGCAGCCCTAAAGGGACCATCATCTCCCCTGGGCTGCCCACCCAGCCCAGGGTGCCCACAGCGCTGGGTGCCCCGGGCGGGGGACAGGGGAACGGTACCGGTACTGATGACCCCATCCCCGGCAGCCCCGCAGC